CCCCAAAACCCCAAAACCCCAAAACCCCAAAACCCCGGATGGTAGAGGGATGGTTGATTTAGTTGTTTTTAGGGAAATAGAGGGCTGGGTTGGGTTATTTTAGAAGAGAAAATATTTTTGAAGCAGTGAAGAAGTCGTTGGAGTCTTCTTCAGAGTATACTTGGAGGGTTCTGAGTATGGATTCGATGGTGTTTGTGGATTTTTGTTGGATTTTTGGAAGTGCTGACTTTAAAGTTTCATAGAAATCTTGTTGATTCTCATCGTTTGATGGGAAGTTTATACCTGGGGAGAACATTTCAATGACCTTAACTAAATCCTGGCCTCCTTTCTTCAAAGAGAAATGAGGAAGGATGAGTATGTCAGGAAAATGAGCTCCAAAGGCTTCGATAGATTCTATTAACTTTTCTTTGCTTTCTAAGTTCTCTAAAGTAATAGTTTTTGAGATAGTGATCATGATACCATTCACAAAATCAGCAAAAGCATTAATCTCAATGTTATCCTCTATTATTTTAATTTCAGATGATTTTCCCATATGAATATGTTCTCTAAAATAGCGATTTCTGTAATCTTCAAAACTCTCTTTTATCTGAGTTGGTTCATTATCAGGATGCCTAAATCGTCATTAAGCTTCATTCCACACAACACTCCAATAACCCTCTCTTCCAAACTTACATCACAACATCCCCATATCCTTGAAATTCTCCATTAAGAAAATCAATGATCTCTTGATACTCACTCATTATTAAAATTCTTACAAAATTCGGAACTTAAATAAACCTATTTTTCATGTAAAGTTTTGGCAAACTACCATTTCTGATGGCTGTCAGAACAGTAATGTTAAGTATCGTGTCTACTTATTTATTTTACATGAAAAGGGGTTTCGATGATGTGAAATTTTAAACAAATATATTTCTTCAGTAGGTTAAGGGCGGTTTTAGAGTGACGTGAAGAGGTAAAAGGGTGGAAGATGATTTTTTGGGATATGGGTGATAGGGGGTTTTGGAGAAGAAGGCAAAAAGGTGGACTATAGGGGTCTGGGTGGGCGATTATGTGTGGAGGTGATAGGGTGATAGGGTTTTGGGGAGATTAAACAAATTTGTTTAATTACTTTAGAAATTGGGTAGTTTTTATCTGGGCAAGCGTGACATAGGAGGTATTTCTTTCTGATCAGAGTCAAAGAATAGTATTTGGTATTGGTATAAGATATGCTAAAGATGTAATAAAAGAAAGGATAAAATAGAGAACAAGAGATTATATAGTATAGCAAAAAATTTGTTAGCATTTATTCTGTTAAAGTAAATTTTTATTAAATAAATGTAGCAGAGAAAGACTGATCCTGAGTGAAGATAAGATTATGATGGTCAATAGAAAGTGTAAGAGGCTATATTTCATTCTCTTTTTCTTCAATTTTGAGCACACAAAAAATTAAATTAAACAAAATTAACTTCATTTTTCTTCTCAAAAAATTATTTCGTTATAATTATCCTCAATCTCTTTCTTTATCAACGGGGTTTTGGGGTTTTGGGGTTTTGGGG